CAAAGTGTTTTAACAAATTGTCATCTAAATAATATTTTTATGCACTGACGTTAGAAGCTACACGTATGTTTAAATATTGGGACAGAGATCAGTTAAAGCGACTTTGAGTCAACATTGTCAGGACAGAGCTAGATGGTATTATAGAACTAGGGGATAATCCAACGTACCAATTCCAGATTACCATCGTAAACATCAAGCCCATACGTCATTTCAAATGTAAAACATACGTTGAACTTAGGGAAGCAAAGGTTCAACAATTCATACTGTCGTAAATGCTGAAATTTGGTTGTAGATTTCACGTTATGAGGGTTAAGAAGGAAATCTTTTTTTCTAGATTTTTTTCTAGTTTTTATATTATAATCCTGAATCCCAGTCGCACAAATTATTACAAATTTTTTAAAATATAATGTGCATTCAACCTATGACTACATATCGGTAGTTTTTTCATTACGTCTAATCTTATACTTCAATTTTTATCGTTACGATTAATGATAAGAGGATATTTTGATAATTGTCGTATAAGTTAATAAGTTCATTACTGGAATTTAAAACAGTTTTAATACTAATTCTAGCAGTTTGCACGTAGAATATTTGGAATTAAAAGATGAACGAATCAATAAAAATCGCCAACGACCGTTGAACATTTTCATGTTTTAGTCCGACGTGAAAAAAAGAAGGCTGTATTGAAACAAAGAAACGTAATCGAAACAAGAGAGCTATGCTCAAATATATGGACACGTAGAGTCACATAAATTTGATGACGTCATAGCGAAAAAAAAAGTAATAGCCTTCTGGAGAAAATTTTTATCTTTAACCACTAAAAATTTCAAAGCAATTGGTCCAGTATTCGAAGAGAAAAGCGACTTTTTAAAAACGTGTCAAGCGGTACTGAGTTAGCAGTCAGGCAGCATCTTACCTGTACACTGTAGGCCATATACGGTAATTGATCACAGAACAGTTGTTCCCTTGCAAATTTTATGTTGTTTACACTTTAGGACAGATAATTGATCACAGAACAATTCTTCCCTTTCAAATTTTATGTTGTTTCCAGTAGACTCTCATCAAAATAAACAAATATAGTAGGCTACAAGTGCTACAACGCTTGCATTACTGCACTGGTAGGACCGTGAAAGAATAAGTTACGGTAATTTCATTGTGGTAAGACACCGGTACCGGCACCAGTACCAGTATCGTACTTACGTACTGAGCTACCAGTACCGGTTAGCAGTCAGCCAGCATCTTACCTGTACACTGTAGGCCATATACGGTAATTGATCACAGAACAGTTGTTCCCTTGCAAATTTTATGTTGTTTACACTTCAGGACAGATAATTGATCACAGAACAATTCTTCCCTTTCAAATTTTATGTTGTTTCCAGTAGACTCTCATCAAAATAAACAAATATAGTAGGCTACAAGTGCTACAACGCTTGCATTACTGCACTGGTAGGACCGTGAAAGAATAAGTTACGGTAATTTCCTTGTGGTAAGACACCGGTACCGGCACCAGTACCAGTATCGTACTTACGTACTGAGCTACCAGTACCGGTACCGAACCTGTAGGTCTGATATTCCGTTCCGCATACGATAGGCTATAAAACTTGCATTGCAGCATTAGTAATACCGCGGAAGGAATAAGTCAATTTCACTGCGTTACGGCACCGGTATGGCAACTTACCAGAACCGACCTACAGTAGCTGAAGTACTGAGCAAGACAATCGATCGCGAAACCGCTTGAAATAAGTGTAAAACAGTGTTCCCATGAGTAAAAATAAATACCGCGAAATTTTGTATGAAATATCATATCTCATAGGATTCATATAAAATTTAGGAATAAACAAAAGTAATAGCCTTCTAGCGAAAAAATTAATCTTTAACCAATGAAAATTTCAAAGCAATTGGTCCAGTATTCGAAGAGAAAAGCGACTTTTTAAAAACGTGTCAAAGGACAAGAACAAGAACAAGAACAACAACAACATAATATTGAAACGATCGTTATGTCCACTACGTGTCCAATAATAGAGGACATTGAAGGCTATGTCGAGGAAGCCGAAACATTCTTGGAATCCAATGAGACATCGATGTCGTTTAGGGATAAGGAAGGCATACGCAACTTATGTTGGGCCCAAAACGACGCATCAATTCGTATTGGGTATGGAACTTTTGATGGCGTTTGACATAAACGCTCAATCTATTCTATTGGACTTGAAAGTTTTTTTTATTTCAACTTTTAAATACTTTTATTCCAGCTATAATCACTTGAAGAGTTGAAAAGCATATACGATGAATTGAAAAATGTGGTGGAAAAAGCTCGCAATAATATTCACGTAGAAAACAAGATATGATATCAAACATTTCATTGAATTTGAAGTTAATTACTTTTGCCATGCAAACTAAATCTTGGAAGTTTTGTATACACATGAGTTTTAGCAGCTATTTTGAAACACAGTCATTTTTTATGAAATAGATAGCAAGTACATAATCATAACTTCTTTGGAGAAAACAAGATATAATTATAAAGACAAGGATCATAATATTTGTTCAATCAATATGTTCTTCATCATTTTTATCTTCAGTTTAAAATCCAGTGTAGCCATAAAAAATATGAGCGTATTGAAACCATGAATTGTCTAAATATTTACCAAGCGGAGCCGAGTATGCGGCAGCCTTTGAAGCGCAAGATGGGTATTTGTAGTGGGTTGGGTGTCACTGTCTCCACTTATCTTCATTTCATACGTATAAATATCACTTGGATCTCCATATTCTCGAAAACGGGACCATTTCTGCTGTATCCTGTCGTTGATGTGTTATTTTTTGCTACCCATGAATCTATATAACATATATCAATTAGGAAATTCATTTTAAAATTATTTTATAAAGGGATAAAGAAGACGCGATCAAGCAGAAATAAGACTTCGTAGTTTTATATTATATATACGAAGCTGTGTGTCGGTTATAAAACTTGAAATAAATAAAGAAAAACTTTTAAAAATTTGCGAGGGAACAGAAAGATTTTTGCGAACAAAGAAGAGAGTAAGACACTTCTTAGTCATAATGGTTATCATGCTACGTAACATGTCATTGTTACGCATGTAATTTGTTGGGCCTTCAAATTTTGTTTATGATAAAGTTAAAATTATCTAAATATACTCATACCGTATACAAACCATATAAATTGCGTTATTGAAAGTTTTTTTCCTGGACCAGTTAAAAATAGAATGACACATAAATTACACAATAGCCGGTGCTCCTTACCTGGTTTGATTATATAACCAATATATTTGCATTTTGTTGATATATTCTAATGATTTGGTGCTTTTCAGGATCTAACGTGTCAAGAAATAGAAAAAATTAAAAGAATATAAAAAATCATTTGGAGTCGATTTACTATGGATCAGAAATTAAGGTAATCTTCTCGTGCAAAAATGTTGATTTTTGCTGTGCCTTATACATTATAACAGTCTGTTTTTTTTTTAATAAAAAACTCGAAGTTGAAAGACTCCAAAGTGAGTAGCGTTCAAACTAAAATTGTAAAACAAGGCCACGATTGGCACTGCGAAAATAATTTGGTTATTTGAATTTATTCCACAAACAAAATTTAGAATTAGGTGACTAGACAAATGTGAGTTATCGAGTATATATAGAGTATATATGCCAAATACCATTTCAGGCAATTATAAAGCTATCATATAATTTGACAGCTTAATACCTTACTTAATATCTCACTGTATTTTCGTTTACGTTTACAGTCAGAAGAAAGCAAAACAGCTCTTTTAAAATTTGCACGACTTGCTAGAAAAAAACTTCGCAGCCAAATCTACAAAACCCACATTAAGGATTCAGACAAAGAAAAAGTTATCGCCAAGTACAACGAGGTAAACGAGGGAATATGGGTGAGTTAATTTATACAAAATTTTATCTTTACAAGATGGATGATCGTATTGTTAAATTGTTGTTGTTGTTGAAAGACTCGCTTTCCCGCGCTACTCATAGATCTATCAATTTTACTTTTTTTAAAGGCTAGAAAGCTATCATTTCTATCTCCATGTGATACGATATTTTATTAGAATTTCAGAAGTATTATATCGATAATTTCTCCCTTTTTACACTTATTTACGATTTTCTCAACAGTTGTTCTGTTTTCTCTACACTCTAAGTCTAAGAAATGTTCGGTAAATTTTACCGTCATTTTAGGGGTAAAAAATTTAAAAATGAGGTCGGTAAACTGATTTACCGACAAATGTTGGTAATAATCACCGACATCGGAGGCGTGGCGTTAGTCAATGTTGCGCGCGCACACTGGTTAAGGAAAGCAGCCAATCAGACGCTATATTTCAAACGCATAATTAATCACGCACGTTTTTTTGTTGCTTTACTCCTTACTTTGTTCGTTTGATTTGACATTTGACGAATTCCAGACTTTTGGACTTTGATATTATGTCGACCGACAGTCATATCTTGGTCGCTTTTGTTATTATTACAGTACTGCGTTGGCAGTATTTCTGTAAGGCAATGCATCTTGGATTCAATAATGTCAGTGTAGGTGTCGTGTTGTTTTAATATATTGTTCAGTGTGATTATGGGTATGGCAGTATGGGGCAGTCGGGAAGTAGGGTAAGATCTACCGTATCAATTACTGAATTATTATATATATGAATACATACTGGCTATAACAATGCAACAGTATACGGTACTGGTATAAGGTTGACTGGACTAGCTTACATCAGTACATCCGCAGATACAGATCCATGTTACGCCTGTCGATACTTAACACAGCCAGAGCTTGATTCGTATTCCCGAATCTGAATTTTTTTTGTCAGTAGACTGGCAAATGTTAAAATGGCAATACAATATCTGAATATGCCCTCTTCACAGCTCTAGACTTTGAAATGTTAGCATCTAATTACTGAATCAAGATAAACCGTCAAATTATCAACAGCTTTATGATGATCGCAAACTCAGACTACTGGCAGGCTGAACTCATAAACATGCAGACAGGGGAAGAGGTGACGTTGCTCTACACCCAGAAACCGTGACTTGAAGAATGTGGCATTAAAATAAACAGGTATCATTAATTATATACTCATATAATTATATACTGATTCAGTGATTGAAAATCATCTACAGACAGACAGATTTGTCTTTGATTCTGATATTTTAAATTATTGATTCTAGGATTAATTCAGAACACTTTCATTTGAAAAAGAGCAATTTTAGGCAATTCACATTTAACTGTCATAAAAACACTAGATTTCCTTTTAACTTATGACACCATAAATAGAAAATTTATCAAAACAATATTTATCTATCTCATTCTGCATATTTACCAAAACCAATTCTGTAAATTTGATTGAATTTCTCTTTTGAATAAGACCGAATTTGAACATAGTCTATTACATATAATGAAGTTGGGGAATACATACATTCCTTTTTAACATTGTTTATCCTTAGAAACTGAAGAATCTGATTATGCAGGCATGAACAAATTGTCTGCCCCAACTCTGAACTGTGAAAAATTCAATGTCTAAGGCTTCATAATATTTGAGATTCTTACTAACATGTTATTTCAAGGAAGAAGTATTTGAGGTTAGGTATAATGTTAATTTTAAATTGTTAAAAGAGAAACTTTCTCATCTGCTCTGACAGTAAAGTATTAGGAGTGTAATTTTTATTATTTAGGGACTTTTAAATTTTTAATTTCATTTAAATACTATTTCAGGTACCTCTTCCATCTGATCTACAAAGTTTGGTAATACTGGAAAAGTCTGTATCGATTGATTGCCCACAGATTCAAGTTCAAGAGGAAAAGAAAGTAGTAAAGTTTATAGAAATGTGGGATATTGTAATGAATGCTAGTACATGCAATTAAATAATTTCAGATATTTCAAACTTGCAAAAGAATTAGATTGATTGATTGAATACTACAAAATGTTAAATCTTATTCGAAGATTAAGTAATATTTTTAAATTTTGAAGTTGTTTGGGTAAAACTCTTTGTACATTCCATTTCATATAACTTGAAGTTATGGAGAAGAAAATACCACGAGTTTGTAAAAGCAGATGGATAATGCAATACAATCAGCATGGGCAACACTAACCCGGAAAGACTCCCCCTCCGCCATAGACTATTCTCTCACAAGGGCTGTCTATAGAGACTTGTTTAAAGTGACTATGTGAACGGATACCCAGCGAGCATAAGCTTTTTCAACGAGAAGTCTCTGTCTACCTCGCATTTCTAACTTTTCACTATACAATTTCTCATTTTTCCAAGGTTTATCATTCATTTCACGTTCACTTTTATTTTTTGAATGATCCTTGTTTCCTACAATAGTCTGTGATTTGTACTGATCATATCCTGTAAAATGTAATGCCAGGATATTTACGGTAATTTTTACCGGGTTCTGAATGTAAATTCACCGAATTTGTGATGTAAATTCACAGGCTAGCGTCGGTAAATATTACTACGCATTGCCGGTGAACATTATCGGAAAGAAATTGTAAGGATTACTAGGGAAATCCTGTAAAATTCACTGGTGATCAACAGCGATTTCACCGAAAATTCTCGTGATATTTACCTTAAAATCGCATTAAAATTTCACAAATACATTTCAATAATATGTAATGCCAGGCGATTGCCGGTAAATATTTCTTAGAGTGTACCCAACATTTTGTGCAACATTTAATATTATTGGATATGTAATGGACCTATGAATTGTTTTATTGAATCGTTGTTGTTGATATTATTCTTAAAAAAGATCGTCTTTCTTTTTAATAATTGGATCGATAGCTTTCGAATTTATGACAGATCTCTTGATCGCATTTTAGCGACTGGTCAGCAAATTTGGCACGATTTCAATGAGAACAGCTAGATTACCGGTACTTTAAAAGATTTGATACTTACCGGTAATTTGCTTTTGTGTCAATATATTGCAATAATTTTCATATAATGCAAAGATCGATATTTTTTAATATACAGCTTCCACAGAGTGAAGCATTATACCTTTTTATTTTTTGAATTAGACTGAAGAGAAGGCGAAAATAGAACTAATGGAGTTCAAGCAACTTTGCATGGAAGTTTTCAAAAAAAATCGATCGAAACGATGATAGTCAAGGCGTTGACATTGAAAGACGTTGGTACTACTGAACAAGAACGACAACAAAAATGAATAATTCGGCTTTATATTATCTTGCTAACTTCAGAAAATCAACTAAATTTTTCATTTATTCAAGTATTCATTTATGATTGTTTCAGTTTCGATATATCTGTAAACAAAATCAGTAAAATTCTAGTACAATAAACATATTTATTATCAGTATTTTGAACCATATTCTAACAGATTTTAAAAATTTGTTGCTTTTCATTTACATTTATCACTAACATCTTTAAAACTCAACTTCTAACATTTTCTTTAATGGAGTAACAATGAATATATTAAATTAATATTTCAATAATTATTAATAAAGTGTATTTCAATGAGATATAATAGTTCCATTTTAGAGGGCGGGGGTCAAAGAATGTTGACCACAAAATTACCTTTTTGTATATCTTTGCTGGTAATACAAGAATATTGAGACTGCCAAAAATATATAAAACGATAACATTAATATTATTGGTAGATACGAAAATGGCCGTTAATTAAAATGGATTCAAATATCTGATATATTTTTAACAAGAAGTAATATTATTGGCAGTTAGCTATTTCGCTATCTGTTACATTTAGTGAGAGGTAGGCTATGTAATTTTTCGTACCGTCTTCACGAAAGTATTAGTTATATTGAAAGACCAGATTACGTGTCCGTAGGCCTGAATTTTTACGTTTCACGTTACTTGTGAAATTTTACGTCTTACGTTTAGTGAATGAACCAGGGTATCACATTTTGAATTGTATTGCAACGGCAGACGTATGATTTTCGCGGAATAGTATTTCGTTTTGTCTTTCGTTTCCACATATTATTTGAACATTGCTTTTTTGCTAATCAATAAAATATCAGTATTCCACAATTAAAACTCACGACAACTTCAATAAGTAAGGAAAATTCTGCGAAGTATCAAGTATGACAGCCTTTGTGATAGGCCACGAAATGAGTCCGTTTATCTTTCAGTTTCGTAGCGCACATAAGGGGACTACTTGGAAAAAAATTTAAATATTTCTTAGAAATTTAAAAACAAATAATACATTGTTATTATTTCCAAAGTTACACGTTTTACGAAAAGGACGCTTTTACTACAATAAATATGTGCTACCATCTGTTCTATATTCTCTGCGTTTCAGGCAACATTACAGACTTCTGCGTTACAGAACAACTAAAAATTGATCAGCTGTTGCCCGGCGGATGAACCTCCGTTTGTACTGCCCGCTCTTGCGTTGAGTTGGGTAGCCTTTCCATCGTCTTTTTACTTATTGATTTTAATCGGTAAGTATGTTGATAAGTATTTGTCTATCTGTCTGTATGTATGTATGTCTGTTAGATTCACGCGATATCCCACGAAAGCGAGATTGAATCTGCTCCAGATTTTGCATGTGCATTCATCATATCTCGGACCAGAAGCCTATTGATTTTGGGCGAATTATGTCGTATAATTAGCGAGTTATTAATCAATTGGTGATGGGACACTATGGAGTAAGAGCGCTGTTTTGAGGGATCTCCTAACTTTCGATCGATAAGTCTTCGATAAGTTATTAAGCACCTGTAGATTCATACCATCACCATGTATAATAATTTTAGTTTAGCATTAGCTCATATAACGTTGTTAAATAGGTGCGGTAACTTCGGGAAAGGCTAGACCTAGAAAAATATGCCACAAACAACGATACGTATATTCATGCTTGTATGAAAGGTTCATGATTAATTTAATGACGATTCTTGAGTATTCAGCAGACTGGACTTGCCACTTTTGCAATTGATTCGAATCGATCCGATTCGTAAATCCAAAAGTGGCATCCCTAACCATGACACTGTGAATATGCCACACTTAAAACATCTGAACAATACTCAAACAGAATTAAAGTTTTAAGTTTCACCCTTGATAGAATAACATAACAATCTGATTAGCATATTTTACAAGAAATAAAAAAATTCAAATACTTGCGATAGCGCTGAACAAAAGAACAAAACTTTGTAACTACACACTTTGACGTTTTCACGCCCTCTTAGTTTAAAATGAATTCGGTATCCAACTTGTGAAAATTTGAAAGAGTATTCGGGAAAAGTCCCACTGCTAGTCCACAAAAACATTCACAATTGGGACAAATTGCTAAACCACGTGGGCCAGATAAATTTGGTTTGATTTGTGACGCAAATAGTTCAATTTGGATTGTATTGACAATGACTGAAAGGTGATTCTGTTTCGTTCTAATTATTAAAGTGCAAGTGTCTAGTTTTCGAAAAGAAGTTTTCGCTTTCCTTGTACATTTTCCGTTGCATGAAAAAGTTAATGGGGCACAGGATTTCTGTGCAATAGGCCACAAAGGAAAAGAGTTGGACATTACTGGTTTAATCAGCTCATCCACACATCACCTGTCTTTGGTTGATGAGCTATTATAATAGTTTATGAAGTCTTTTCATGACCCTTCATCGCAGCTTGAAGACATTTTCCAACAAGACAAAAATAAAAGTCAGTAGGAGAAAGCAACGAATAATGAAAATGATGATCCAGTATGATTATTGAGGGTTTGCCGCCAAATGTATTATCCAAAATTTGAGATACATAATCCAAACACGTATGGTAGCTCAAAACGTAAAGCACAAACTCATAAACTACCTACTTTACAAATCATAAGGCACACCGGTATTAAGGGGCAATGATAATAAATTGCTTAGATTTGATTTTCAACCATTCATAAAGTGCATCGAACTATAAGATGCAAACATTACTGGTACTGTTTTAAAGTTTGCAATATAGCATAAAACACTTCCGGATCGATACATTATAAGACTTGTAGGGCGTGTAGAGGGCGCACAATCCATTTTTGAAAAAATGAAAAATATAATATTTAAAGCGCTCCTTAAGTTCCGTGAAATATGGTAATCGTTTTGGCGTTTGTATAAACGCCTTCTTAGTTTGGGTCGAAATTGAATATCCGCCTTATGACAACTTACAGATGACTACGAGACATTCAAAAAACCAATTTGGACTCAGATTCTTAGTTGAGTCAGTAAAATTTGACTCCGAGTGTTTTTGTCAAATCAGCCTATCATCAGCTGGCTTTCGTCATGAATGAGTAATAACTGAAGTGTATAATTTAAAAGTTTATGAAGTTTTTTCGTAACATTCATCGTTGTTTATTGAAGAAACTTTTTAAGAAAGCGAAAAATGCACACAGCAACCGAAAAATCAATATAGCAAACATGCTCAGTTCCTGAGATTCCGTCTGACGAATGCGTGGGGATTCACGAGTCACACGTGGCGGGGAATAGTGTGCTTCATTCCATAGTCTAACTCCACTTCTACTAGAACTCATGGAAAACTCGTTAGACCTTGTATGGTGCCTGGTACGGGCTACATTGGGCTGATTGTGTTTGTCAATCAAATTATCTGATCCTCTACGAATTCGTATGCTAATTCCATCATTCTTTGTTGTAAATTTTTCTTCTGGCAATCGAGATTTGTCCACAAGACGAACCTTTACTTTACTCAGAAAATAATGATTTTCAAGTAATTTTAGCAAATGAAGTCTTCTGTTGTCCAGTGACCAAAATTTATTATTCATTTCTATGATTTTTATAAGTGGTATGTCATCAACGTTCAGTTCTCTTTGTAAAATTTTTCTCACAACATCTTGTATTGTAT